TTGAATTTCTTTCCCTGTTATTTCTCTTTCTCAGAGAGCAGTGTATTGAAGTCACCTACTATAATTGTTGAGGCTGTGATTTCTTTTTTCATCTTTTGGAGTGCTTGGTTGACATATTCAGCAGGTCACTTGTTCAGGGAATATATATTTAAAATGCTTAGTGGTCCTTTGTCTACAATACTCTGGAGCATTATATAATATCCCCCCTTATCTCTTTTTATGGTTTGCACTTTGAGATCAATAATATCTGAGATTAGGATCGCAACCCCTACTTTTTTGGAATTGCTGTTTGCTTGGTATGTTTTTCTCCAGTCTTTGATTCTCAGCCTATTTTTGTCTGTAGCCTTGAGATGTGTCTCCTGTAGGCAGCAGATTGATGGGTTGTGTCGTCTAAGCCAATCTGCTAGCCTCAGCCTTTTAATGTCTGAGTTCAGTCCATTGATATTCAGGGTTATTATCTCCACCTGTGGACTCTGTGATGTCATCTTATACTTTTTGTGGTGGGTGCTTTCCTACCTCTCTTTCTTATTAGTGTGCTGTGCATGTGTGTGTGTGTTTGGTTCATTCTTGAGTTCTTTCTATCCTTAAGCCAATGCTATTTTTGGAGCTGTTTTCTCTTTGTTTCCCTGTGGGTGGGGTTGTTCTATGTGGCGGTCTTTTATTTGTGCTCTGTGAGTGCTGTTTTTCTATCCATACTGGGTCAGCAAGGATCTTTTGTAGGGCTGGGTTTCTTTTAACGTATTCTTTGAGTTTTTCCTTGTCTGGGAAAACTTCTCCATCTGTCTTGATAGATAGTTTGACTGGATAGAGTATTCTTGGGTTTGTGTTATTTTCCTTCAATTTTGGAATATGTTACTCCACTCTCTCCTCTTCTTCATAGTGTCTGCTGATAGATCTGAGCATATTCTTCTTTGGTAACTTTTATATGTGACTACTTGTTTTTCCCTAGCTGGTCTCATGATTTTCTCATTTTCCTCACAGTTGGATAGTTTTAACCCATGATGTACCTTGGTGACTTCTTGGGATTCAGTCTAGCTAGTGTCCTTTCAGCCTCCTGAATGGTTGCTTTGTTTTCATTCATTAAGCTGGGGAAGTTTTCCTCCAAGAATTCTCCCACTGTTTTTGCAGTTGATTTCTTTGTTGTGTCTTCCTCTGGTAATCCAATTATTCTGATGTTGTTCCTCTTCATAACATCAGACATAGCACTTAGGTTTTCTTCAGTTTCTCTGATGATCTTATTAGACCCTTGTTCACGTTTTTTAAAGTCTGCTTGGCTGTCCTCTAGGTCACTGGTGTGGTTCTCTGCTTCCTCCAGTCCGTTGGTGAAGTCCATGAGTCTGCTACTGGTTGGTCTTTATCTCCTTTATCACTTCATCCTTCTTTTGTATTGTTTCCCTCATACCCTGTATGACTCCAGTCAGCATTCTGAAAATTTATTTCTGTGGCAGATCAGTGTCTCCTTCTTCTATACATGTCTTTAGGTTCAGAACATCTTCTGACATTGCCTTTTTCTCCTATTTTTTCGTTGAAGTCATTCAGGCTGATTGATGTTTGAATTGTGTTATTTTAGAGGAGCCTGGTGCCATTTTCCAGACAGTCAAAGAGCACTGGGCTCTCTCTGGGAGACTCGTAGGTATAGGAATGCTGCTTTGACCAGCCTGCAGCTAATTGCATGATGGGGTTGGCCTACTGCTTTATCCTCCTGTGGTTTCACTCTTTCCCTAGTCAACCAGTATTCTGTTATTTGGAGGGCAAGTTAGATGGTCCTCTCAGGGGACACTGGTTGGGTGGTTGTGGACCCACTAGGATGTTGCTTCACTGGGTGATCTCACAAGAAGCTGTGATGGTGTGTCCCCTGGCAGGTTGGGGCACTGCAGGGGGGTGCCTGCTGCAATGGGAGTGCCACAGAGGCATGTGGTTGTTCCTGCTTTGGTGTAGAGCACTGCTGATGGTGGGTAGAATTGCTCTGGTCAGCTATGTCACAACTGTGGGATATAGCTTAAAACCCTTTTTATTAAAAAAAAATCATGTTATTGGGGGCTCATACAATTTTTATCACAATCTTTACATCCATCCATTGTGTCAACTACATTTGTACATTTGTTACCATCATCATTTTCAAAACATTTTCTTTCTGTTTTAGCCCTTGGTATCAGCTCCTCATTTATATCCCTTCCTCCCTCACCGTCCTTCCCTCCCAAACCCTTGATAATTCATAAATTATTATTTTTTCATGTTTTTCCCTGACCAATGTCTCCCTTCACCCACTTTTCTGTTGACTGTCCTCCCAGGAAGGAGGGGATTACATGTAGATCATTGTGATTGGTTCCTCTTTTCTCCCTACATCTTTCCCTTACCCTCTTGGTATCGCTACTCTCAATGTTGGTCCTGAGGGATTTATCTGTCCTGGATTCCCTGTGTTTCCAGCTCTTATCTGTACCAGTGTACACCCTCTGATCTAGCCAGATTTGTAAGGTAGAATGGGGGGTCATGATAGTGGGGGAAAGAAGCATTAAAGAAGTAGAAGAAAGTTGTATGTTTCATTGGTGCTTTATTGCACCTGACTGGCTCGTCTCCTCCTCCTCATCCTTTTGTAAGTGAACTTCCAGTTGTTTACAGATGGGTTTTGAGTCACCACTGCTCACTCGCCCCC